TTCCTGACGATGCCGCTGCGTTCGCCGCCACCGTGCTCGCCCACGAAGGCCACGACCACGGCGACCACGTCGACTGCAGCACGGAGCAAGCTTCGGCGATCAAGACCTTCTTGGAGTCGCCGCCGCCGGCAGCATGCACTAGCGTGTGGACGGCGCAGCCGACCCTCGAGCAGCTTGCCACGTATTTTGAGAAGAACCCGGCGACGGTCGCCAAGCTCTGCGCGAACGCCGGCTGCAAGACGTACTTTACCAGCATGGCCGCGCTCCCCGACTGCATGTACATGATCCCGAAAACGACGATCGAGGCCAACTTCAAGGATGGCGCCAAGGAGGCGCTGGAAGGCTGCACTAGCTCCAACTCGACGGCCCCCACGAACGGCTCGACGATCACGACGCCGGCGCCGACGGCGGCCAAGTCCACGGCCCCGACGTCTGCCCCGACGCCCAAGCCGTCGTCGGCCAACGCGCTGGCGGCCATTTCGCTCTCGGCGGCCGTCGCCACGGTGGCCGCGGCCCTTGCGTAATCGCCGTTGATGTCTCATTTCTCTTCTCAATACAGTGCATTTTTAACGTGTTTTATCCACTGTTTCTGCTGTCGAGGCTTCGTCCATGGCTCGTACAACTAGAATATCGCTGGTAGTGTCTCGCTATCACCGGTCGTCGCATTGACGAGTGATCTCGCAGCGGCGCGCCTGCGTCGTCCGAGGCAGACGGTTCGTCACCCAATTGAACGATACTTGAGAATGTATCTTCTTTTTGAGATACATACGATACATTCCATTCAAATACGTTCTTAACTGGGCCGCTTGTGCGCACTTAGACGAGACCGAAATGGCCAGTAGCAAGTTGCAACACGATGAGCGTGCAGGAGATGGCTGCTGCGCTCGCCGTGGCCGGTGGCCGCCACCTCGTCGACGAGAGGGCCGGCCCTGACCCGAAAGAACCGATCGAGATGATCATGCTGTACACGGTCGCACTCGCGCTCTCGTCCAGTATGTGCTTTGTCACGTGCCTCACAGTCTTCAAGTGGACGTCGGTCACGGCCAACGCGTGCCATGGCACGTTCTTCATGTTCTTCGTGAGCAAAGGCCTCTGGTTCTTCGTGCGGCTCGTGTACACCTTTAGCATCTACCTCAATGGGCGCGTGCCCAATCTGCGCATCGCGACGATCCTCTTCTCGCGCGTCGTGTCCGACTCGTGCACGATCGCGGCCTGCTCGTGGTTCATCGCGTCCGTATACGAGCTCCAGCGATGGGTCTTTCGCCCGCGCTCCGCAATCGAGAGCCGCCGCGCCATGCGGCGCTACAATTTAACCTGCTACGGCCTCGCGCTCCTCTATCTCTTGCCGGTTGGCACGGTCAGCTACGTCGAGCTCACCGAGCACGACGAGCCGCAAGAGAACGACTTGACAACGACGTTGTATTACACGGCGATGGTCATCTTCGGCATTCGCCTCGTCTCGATCGTATATCCGTTGGGTGTCGCGGTTGCCTTGCACCTGCGTGGCGACGACATCAAGGACAGCATCGGCGACGCAGTCCTCGACGGCCACTCGTTCCGCAACATTCGGCTCGTCGTGACCGTCTTTTGCGTGCTCAACGTCCCGTTCTTGTTTGTCGACAGCCACCTCTTCTCGCTCGACACGATGGGCTCGTCCACAGCCGTGATTTTACGCGCGTGCTTTCGCATGTTGCCGTACTCAAGCGGCGCAGCCACGTCGTTCATCATGGGCTATTACCTCACGGGGTTTGATGAGTTTTACAAGGTCAAGCGCGAGCCGCCGACGGTCCGCGCCCACGACTCGGCGTCCGCGTCTTTTGCGTCTTTTGAGTGTCACATGACGATCCGCAACCAGCACTCGTTCTTCGTCGTGTCCGATTGAGGGTACCGTGAATCGACCAAGGTATAGACTTAGTAAGAAAATGAATCTACAAATTTTGATATGACATATTCTCCACACGTTATATGCCGTCGAGACGAGGTATGTATCTCTATCTCTAGCACGAACAACCGGTACGCTAGACGTCGTACTTGGCGAGCAGCTTGGTCGCGTCGCGCAGCGCCTTGAACTCGAGGTTGTTGCCGCTCGGATCTTTTAAAAACATCTTCCACTGCTCGCCTGCAGTGCCTGCGTAGCGCACGTGGGGCTTGATGTGAAAGGTCACACGCTGGGCTGTGAGATGCTTGGCGAGCCACTGGAACTCGGGGACGCTCAAGCAGACGCCAAAATGAGGCATCGGGATCTCATCATGGGCTACAAGCGACTTTTAATGGCGGCCGACAGCAAGATAGACAAGTGCGTACCCACGGGCAAGTCGACGCACCGGTACGTCGGGCCGGCGTCGTGCACCACAAGCTGGTGTCCCCACATGTTGTAGATCTATTCGCATCGGATCAGCCGCGACGTCGCAATATGGCGTTGCGACCTGGTACTGAGCGGTGCCGTGCCCTTCCTGGAGCGCGAGGACGGTGCCGTAAAAGTGCTTGGCTACGAGACTCGGTCATAGCGTGGAGCCCGAGAAACAGTACGCACCTTCTTTCATGCTGTGAATCGGCACGGCGAGATGGAATGGCGCGATCGGCGCCGCCTGCTTCTCGTCGACAGTCTCGGGTCTCGACATGTTCATTTGGCCACTGACTGGCCCATGGACGTGCGTGAACGCGGCGTTGGCTAAATATATATATACGCGGACGATGGCGCCTCGCCAACGCTCGACGCTAAATTTGTCCTGCTGCGTCGTATGCTTGCTCCAGGAAAGATGACTAATCCCGGCGTTTTCTCAAGCGACATGGCCCTCGTTTAAACGTCATACCCTATCTATCGCCCTAGTATCAAGTTCGTATCAACCTTTGTATCAACGTATCCAGCTTGCAACATTGCGTGGAAAGACATGAAAAGCAAAATGGCATTACGTCTCGCTATAAGTAGCAAACATGGCGTCTGGGTTGACGTAGGCCTTGAGCTCGAGGTTGTTGCCGCTCGGATCGCGGAAGAAGATCTTCCACTGCTCGCCTGCAGTGCCGGCATACCGCACGTGCGGCTGGTGCACGATATGCATCCCCTTGTCGTACGACGCGACCCGGTCGCACAGCGCATGAAACACATGGACGGTCAAGCACACGCCAAAGTGGGGCATGGGCACGTCATCGTGCTCTAAGTATGTAGCTAAGGATTCCGACATGTTGCGAATGTACACTTGTACCATTGACGAGCTCGAGAGCGCGGTAGGTAGGGCCTGCGTCGTGGAGCACCAGTTGGTGACCATACATGTTGAGCATCTGACGAGGGCATTTGCATGTGCGTCATAGGACAGAGTATAAACGATTGCACTACCTGCCAGTGCTTGGACGACGCACCGTCCGTGCAGCCGAGCGCGTCCTTGTAAAACGAGGTGGCTACAGAGCAACAGCTTGGTATACTAAGAGCGTCGGCAGAGTAGACGCGTACCGAGCGGGAGATCGTGGACGGCAATCGCAAGGTGGAACGGCGGCATGTACGCGCCGCTCGACGAGGGCAATGCGGGGCTCATTTTGGAGGCAATATGGGAAATGATAGACTGCAGCTGCCACGTTTTCAGACGCGGAAAGTTGAAGTGCGCGCGACGTGAACGAGGCGGGCGCGCGTCAAGTGCTCGAACTTGAAAACGCTATCACGAGAACACGCACTACGAGTCCGAGTAGCCAGCGTTGAATTTCTTAATTTTCGCGCGTCCTGATTTGCTCGTGGAGGCGCGAGAAGCAACCTGGTTCCTACGGTACACCCTTTGGCATGCACGGAATGCATTCCTTCCATCCCAACCAGACTCGTGATTCAGAAATGATCGCTGGAAAAGGTCTCTGGCAACGATCGTCGACTCGGGTGGCAATCAGGGTCGCAACGAAAACGTCACCCGCGATCAATAATCTTCACAGCGGGGCGCAGTAGCTGTACCAATGACGCTGATGAGCGTCTACACTGTAGAACCGTGCTATCACTGCGGAATGATTGGAGTGATAGTAGACAGCCTACATCTTGGAAGCTTCAAGCGGCATTTCGTCAGGTTGGCGATGAAATTTCCTCCTCGTTGCTGGCTTTAGAGGCTATAACGCCGGTCGTTTGATCGAGCCATTCCATTGACGTGGTGCTCGAACCTAAATAGCTCGGGGACTCATTTGGCTTCTCCAACAAAACTGTTTGTACGAGAATCTGCATTCCCGTGGTTCGCTGATTACTGGTCATATTGCCAGAGGCAAACCTCCTCGTTGGCGCGACCCGAGTGGCGTCGTTGGGACTCGAATTTGAACTTGGGGCTCGATGTGCAGGTACGACGGGTCGCCCATCGCTCAGGACAGTCAAACTGAAGCATCGTTTGGACCCGCACCGTGGAAGTCATCGCAGCTCTTGGGACGCCTGGACGTCGAGGCACTGGACTGCGTCCGACTCGGGTTGGCTATAGCACGGACGCTGTTCATGGATGTCATCTGTGAATTGGCGGGCGGCTCGCGAGGCGGTTCAAAACCATTCAAATCGATGAAAACCCGAATCTGGAGCATACAAGTCGCTGCCGCTTGGCCCGATGGGACGTCACGACTCTTTTACTATTCGCAGAAATGAGCACTCATTCAGAATCAGAGATCAAACTGCCCGACGCAATGCCACGTCGTTGTAACCTTGATTTCGGTATTTGCGTGTGCCTGTTAAATCGACGAAAGAGAAGAGAAGAAGGAGGAAGTTCGATATGACGTGGCGATCTTGTGCAAGCGGTACTATGCAAGCGTGCTGTGCGCGCGGCAATTGTGCAACATGGTATTGCAACCCGCATGCCTCACAATAGAACCGAATTTGCCTGCCCGTAGCACGCTCGACGTTGTGCAATAGGACGAGTGCGCTCGGACGCCGCGACTTGGTTTGTAGGACGGACCATGTAAACGCGTTGGCAGCGGGCGTGGAGGGGTCGCACGCACTGTTGCAGCTTGGACCCGCAAATTTCCACGTCGGACGAGCGCAAGGGCCAAGCCGGTGTAACGCATTAGCAGGCCAGGCAGACGAGTGGCCACCGATTACGACCAAGTACGAAGATTCGTCTTCGATTCTCGTTACTTGAAAATGAGATCGCACCGCCATTGCCTTGACAGATGTTGCACGCTGCCACCGGTATGACACCATCTGCTGGCCCACAACCAGGAGCAACCGCACAACCTGCTCTATCCAGACCAAGCTGTGAACCCAGCTGTCTCTGGGACTTGGTATGTGTGTGTGTTTTAGAGAGACTACGGCGCTGCTGTAGTGCGGTTCTTGGCAGGCCCGTCTCGGTCGTTGCAGGTTCCTTTGGAATAGTTTGTACTGTTGACGACCGAGTTTGCAGTTTGCAGTGGTCCATCGAATCTGATGAGATTCAAATCCATGCACCAACAAATCTTGCAGGGACCTGTAATGGCTGTCGACCATTGCGCTGACACTGTGAGGCAACTCCAAGCAGCTACATGAATCTGCATGCCATTTTCAAATCGTGCCCACGTCACACACACACAAGTCCTCTGATGAAGCTCGCCGCCTGTCTTGTTGCGCTCGCGACCGCCGTCGCGGCCGACGAGAGCCCGTCGTGGGTCGGTGGTCTCGGCACGATCCACACGATCGCCGACAACTGCATTGAAAACAACGTGCACGTGTGCGCGTACCACGCCCTGAACCGGCAGCTCGGTGCCAGTGCGGCCGCATCGATCGCTGTCTCGTCCAACTCGATCCCGCACCTGTCGACGCTCAACGTGACCTTTTACGTCGAGTCGCCGACGCCCAACGACCGCATCACGGCCTACTGCGCGTCCAGCGTCAACAGCACCGTCGACAGCGACTACATGGACTTTCAGCCGACCAAGGGCGCCGCCAGCGCCACGCTCACCTTTGGACCGCTCGTCAACATGCGCTGCGACTACCAGTTTCGGTACCAGAAGGAGACGAGCCCCAAGACGTTTGTGACGGTCGCGACAAGCCCTGTCGTGACCATGACGGCCGGCGTCACCGAGCCGCTCCAAGTGCACATTGCACTCACCGGCAAGACCGACGAGATGCGCGTCATGTGGACGTCGGGAGCCGTCACCGGGCCGCGCGTGCGCTATAGCATTGTCCGCGACAACTGCGGCGATGGCGACCTCGACAAGACGGTGACGGCCACGAGCAGCTCGTATGCGGCCTCCGACATGTGCGGTGCGCCAGCGTCGACGATTTCAGCCCAGCGCTTCATTCCTGTCGGCACGCTCTACGACGCCGTTCTCACCGGCCTCCCGCCCAACGCCAAGGTGGCGTACCAAGTGGGCAGCGACGTCGGTGGGTGGAGCGACGTCTTTACGTTCACAATGCCGGATATTACGTCGCCCAAGCCATCGAGCTTCTTTGTATTTGGCGACATGGGCACTTGGACCACTGCGACGGGTGGCCTCGGCCTCGATGGGCGGTCGCTCTCGACGGCCAAGCGGGTTGCCGACGACATGGCCACGGGACAGTACGTCGCTGCCTTGCACGTCGGCGACCTCTCGTACGCCGACAGCGTCGGGTACATCTGGGAGCAGTTCATGGCGCTCGTGCAGCCGATTGCAGCCACGTTGCCGTACATGGTGAGCGTGGGCAACCATGAGTACGCGTACACGTCGTCGGTGCAGGCGGTCGATGTTTCCGGCGAGACCAAGTGCTTCTTCGCGTCGCCCGAGATGGCGAAAGCGAGCTCCGGCGGCGAGTGCGGCGTGCCAACCGCGCGCCGGTACCAACATGCCACGCAACGGCAACGGTGTCTTCTGGTACAGCTTCGACC